GAAAAACCACAAAAGAATCCACCACCACCACCAAGATTCAGTATTACCCTGATATCAAAACCAGTCAAAGACACACACAAAAAGAAAATTATACACCAACCTCCTTAATGAACCTGGATATAAAAAGTTTCAGTAAATTACTGGTTAACTAAATCAACCTCATATAAAAGAAATCATCCATCGTGATCAAGTGGGCTTCATTCTAGGTATGTAAGGGTGGTTCAACACAATCAAATTAATAAATTAAGCTCATAAACAGATTCAGGGACAAAGATAATGATAATATCAACAGGTCTCTGAAAAGTTCTCTGATAAAATCCGCCGTTCCTTCGAGATAAAAACTCTGAGGAAACTAGGGCTACAAGAAATATACTTCAAAAAATAAAGGCTACATAGCTAACATTATAATAAAAATCAAGCATTTCCCCTAAAATAAATAAGTAATGATGACTAATTTCTCCACACTTACTCAACATAGTGCTTGAAGTCTTAGCTGGAGCAACAAGAGAAAGAAACCAATGGAATATAAGTAGGATATAGCTCGCAAAATGAACCCTATTTACAGATGATATGATCCTATGTGTAAGACATCCTATAGAATCCACCAGAAAACCATAGAACTGATATATGCTTTCAGCTAAATAGCAGCAATAGAAGTCCAAGTATAAACCCCAGTCGCCCTCCTATATACCTGTGGTGAACCTGCCAAAAAAGGAACCAGGAAAACAGTCTCATGCACAACCGCTTCATAAAAATACATGTAGCCAAAGAAATAAAAGTCTCTGTTAAAGTTTGGAAATATGGAAGAATCCAAAGAAGAGCCTAGAAGAGGGAAAGATCTCCTACACTCATGGATGTCTTCCTGGAGAAAAATGAAATCAGGAAAAGGTGGGGGGAAGTTTGAAGATGATAAGTATCGGCAGGTCTGACTGGAATGGACTCCAATAACAAAAAAGTAATCTGAAGAACTGATGTATATTGTGTGGATCTAAAAAGCTTCTTTTCAGGAAAGGAACATCAGCAGCACAGTGAAGGGACAGCTTGCTGAAGGCAGAGAAATCTTTGCCAGTATATATCTGGTAGAGGACTAATATCTAGAATACAGAACTCAAGAGACAAACTACCAAGCGCCCAAGCAATTCAGCTAATAAATGGGCTAATAAAATGACGAAGAACAAATGGTCAATAAACATATGCAGATGTGTTCAACATCCTCAGCCATCAGGGAAATGCAAATTAAATAAACATCGAGATTCCAACTCATTGCAGTCAGAATGGCTATCATTAAGAAAACAATAAATGCAGGCTTGGGAGACAGCTCAGTCAATAAAGTGCTCACCATGAAAGTATGAGGACCTGAGTTTGATCCCCTAGAACACATATAAGAAAGCTGGGTGTGGAGGAGGTGAGAAAGCTTAGCCAGTGAAGGTGCTTGCCACCAAGCTTGACCATCTGAGTTAGGGCCCCAGAACCCATCCAAATAAGAGTATAAACTCCTACAAGCTGGTCTCTGATCTCTACATGCATCGTCCATGCACACACACACACACACACACAATAAAACCACCCTGGGTACAGTACCACATACCTGTAATCCCACTGTTGGGAAGGTGGAGACAGGAGAATCTTGGGGCTTGTTGAACAGCCAATTGAGCCGAGTCAATGATCTCCAAGGTGTGCCAGACACCCTGTCTCAAAAAAAGGTGGAGATTGATTGAGGAAGCCACTCAGTGTTGACCTCTGGCCTCCACATGCACATGCACAAACATGCACCTCCATGAACACACACATACACACACACACACACACACCTGCTCTCTCACCAAATGCTTTTGAGGATGGAGAAGACGAGCTCTCATATTTCTAGTGGGGATGTAAATTAGTCCAAGCACAATGAAAAACAGTATGAGGGAGCTCCTCAAAACGCAAACAATAAGATCACCAATAGGTTCAATAGCTAAGGATGCTTGCTGACAAAGCCTGACGACTTGAGTTCAATACCCAGAGCCCTCAATGTGAAAGGAGGAAACTGCTTCCTGTAAGTTGTATGGGTTGTCTTCTGACCTTCATGCATGTGTCATGGCCCACAAGACATCTAAAGTAAAATTAACTGAAAAAGAACCAAATGATAGAATTATCACATGATGTAGCCATACCAACCCTGGCTATTATCCAAAGAGTGTTCAATCAACATAACATAGACATGTTATAAGAGGTCCTTGCACATCAATGCTTATTAAAACACTGTTTACAATAGCTGAAATACGGATCAGCCATATCTGTATGGATAAAGAAAAACATGACACACATAATGCAGTTTTATTCACATGTACAGAAGATACTCATGTTTTCAGCATAGTTGGACTTTTGATTACGTTAGAAATAAATCAGACTCAGAAACACAAATATTATGTTTGGTTTTTGTGGTTCCTAGGATAACATTTTGCTGATTATACACCCATACCATTTTAATCTTAAGAACAGAGATGGTAATGATAGCAGCACCTGTACTACAATGAAAAAAATCCTTTGAAATTTTTAACTTTATTTTTTTTAAAAAATCTACTTTATGTGTATGAGTATTTTACCTGAATGTATGTAGTGCACTTTGTACTTCCCTGTTGCCTTCAGAGGTTGGAAGAGGGCACCAGATTTCCTGGAACTGGAGTTAAGGATGGTTGTGAGCTACCATGTGGGTGCTTGGAACTGAACCTGGGTCCTCTGGAAGAACAGTGACTACTCTTAATCTCTGGGGCATCTCTCCGGTGCCCCTTAACATTTTATTTTTATGGTGTGTGTGTGTGCGCGCACACGCGTGCGCGCGCACGCGCAGGTGTGTTTGACTGTGTGGGCCTGTGCATTTCTTGATTTCCCTCCACTTTATTTTTGAGACAGTGTCTCTAATTGGTTGGTCCAGAATTTCCTGTTTTTGCTACACTGGTCAGCCTGTGAGACCTCAGGAAACTCTTGTCTCTGCCCTCCTTACCCCAGCACTGAGATTTTAGACTTAGCTATTTGCTTTTGTGTGTGTTCTGGCTAGCTGAATTCAGGTCTTCACACTTGCTCTTTGCGCATTGTGATGATTTGAGTAAGAATGGCCCCATAGTTTCGTATATTTGAATGCTTAGGGAGTAGCACTATTTGAAAGGATCAGAAGGTATGGTCTTGGTGGAAGTGTGTCACTGGGTATGGATTTTGGGGTTTTAAATGCTCAAGCCAGACTAGTGATTCTTCCTGCTGTCTGCAGATCCAGATGTAGAATTCTCAATTCTTTCTCCAACATCATGTCTGGCTGAATGCCATTATCTTCCCGCCATGTTGATAATGGACTAAACCAATGAAACTGCAAGCAAGAACCAATTAAATGTTTCCTTATTTATAAGTGTTCCTGTGATAATGGTGTCTCTTCACAGCAATAAAATACTGACAAAGACACCTATTGAACTATCTTTATAGTCCTTCGGTAAGTTCTTTGTATACATTATAAATTCCATCAGCTTCTTGGCTTATCAGAATCCTCCAAGACCGTTATTTCTTGGCTGTTTGGACTGTAGTAATAATTGACTACATTACTGAACCACTTTAATAGAAGCAGATCCCATTGTCTTTGCATTCTACTGCCACCTACTGCTCATGTAGCGAAGTGCTCTTCTCTGTTTGCTCAAGCTTTATTCCTAACTACTGAATTTTGGTTGTCTCAGCGCTCATAAACTTTTTATTCTTTGAGCTTCAAATCACAGTTGATGTAATTTTCTAATAGTTTCTGGTATTTCATTATAACATCCAAGAAGATGCTGATTTTCCCCCTTGGGGGGCAGTTTATGACTTTATAGAACACGGAACATTTTTATAACTAGATACAACACTTGCATAATTCATTGTCAAGAGAGCCAGAAGGATCATAGACTCCCTGGGGAATTACTATCTTTTAGTGTACACTAAATTGGACATTACGTTTTTCCTTGGACATCTTACCCTTCAAAGTTCTACTTTCATGCTTTCTCTTGTAAAACTTTCCACTATTGTCTAGATTGGAAGTAAATTCTTCATCCCACAATTGGTAGTTATTATGATGAGCCACACAAGGAAGGAAAATAATTCAGTTCGAAAAATGGCTTTACAATACTTTCCCTCATCTTCCCTTAGCCTTCATCCTTCCCTCATCCTTCCCTTGGGCTGTTTTTCTTTTGCAGATAAACTGGAATCTCAGGGGGTGCTTTACGACGGTTTTAAGGAAGACAAGAAGAAAAGCAACCTGGTCAGGCTCACTTTGCATACTCTGAAATTGGCTAGCTCGCAGTTCTTAGATACTGCCTGGCAAGAATTTTCAAAGCTAATAACTCAAACGTAATTCTTTTTCTGAAATAAAATGTCAGTTTAAAGAAGAGAGACGGGAAGCAAGAAGGAGGAAATTACATGAGTAAAACTGTCATTGCAGCGTTTGTGAGCAGTTCAGCTAGACTGTACTTAGCTGGGACGCTGTGAGGTGGTGATCAATACATGAATGTCTTGGAATTCACAGAGAGGTCTAGGCTTTGCTACAGATTAGCTGAGGTCACTAGAGTTTTTATCACAGGACGACAGTTAATCAGTTCCTCTCTGCATTCTTCTTTTAGGTGTTTATATACTTTTCTTGTTTAACGTCATAGCATTCTCAGAGTCTGAGGCTTAGGGCCGTGTCCCTTTCAGACACCCCGAGCCTTCTTCTAAATCACAATCACTGCTTCAATCCCAAACTTGACATCTCTTCGTGGATCACTCCATAAGAATAGCCACCAGTTTAGCAAACGGCCAGAAGAGCCGTCAGGAGGGCGGCAGGTCAGCTACGTCTTCTATTTCTGCTTTCTCCGATAAGAAATGTTTTTGAGAGCAAAGACTGTGTGGGCAGAAGGTGGAAGTTTTTCCCTTGTAGGAACAGAAAGTCATTGTTTCTGGCTGTGTTCCACCGGATTTAATAACGGACCAACTTCCGGTCCGTTCCCTATGTCTTCCGAGTCTTGAGTCTTCCTCTACTTCTGCCCGGAGTTACTGTCCGGTGCTGCAGGCAGTAGCTACTTCCGCCAGAAGTCCCTAGCGGCTCGGGTTCGGATGCTGCATCCCGGCCGTCAGAGGCCGGTGGCAGCGGCTCCTACAGGGCCTGCCGCGAGGCCTCCCCTGCGGCCGAGCCCCGGCCAGTGGTGGGGAAGAGACAACGCCAGGGAGCGGGTCCAGGGTGGTGCGTACCCCGCAGGCCTTGCCGCATACGCCCAACCGGGGCGGGGCTCGACCTCCCGGACCCGCCCATTAGGGTAGCCTAATTCGGGGAGGATTAGCCGCATCTCACATGCGGGAGTCGTCATCCCCCAGGCTGAGGCCACCCGGGGACCATGGAGTTCGCGGAGCTGATTAAGACCCCACGGGTGGACAATGTGGTGTTGCACCGGCCTTTCTACCCCGCCGTGGAAGGGACCCTGTGTCTGACGGGCCACCACCTGATCCTGTCCTCCCGGCAGGACAACACGGAGGAGCTCTGGCTCCTCCATTCAAATATCGACGCCATTGACAAACGGTGAGCGCCCACCACACCCAGGTCCATAAGGAGCTGGAACAGATGCTTCCCTTTTTTTTTTTTTCCTTTTTTTTTTTTTTTTTCTGGCATCCTCGCCCAGCCAGCTAAATGAACTTTCTGAGGCCTACATCTGAAAGCCATCTGCACTGGCTACCTGGCTTTTGCTATACCCGGGCTAAGGTCTCAGGGGTATCATCTCTGTGGGCGTTTTGAACACCACTTGGGCCTATTTTCAGTGTTCTCTTTAATTTTTACCCCCATCACATACCTTGAATTTTCCTTGCCATTTTCTCGAAACATTGGTTGTCAATATCACGTCACAAAGTTGTGCATGAATATAATTTAAAGCCCCCCCACACCAAAAAAAAAAAAGTAGACAGGCCCGCCTTTTGCAGCCTAGGCCTGTCTTGAGCCCCCGACTTTCCAACCTTAGTCTCACAAGTAAGTGCTGGAATTACAGTTTTGTGTGTGTGCACCACCATGCCTTGCCGCAGCTGAGTACATTGTCTTTTATTTTCTATTTTGTTACCTCAAAAAAATATTTAAAGTTCAGTAAGGTGGCACACACCAGTAATAGCACTGGGAAGGCCGAGGCAGGTGGATGACAAACTTGACAGCCACCTCACGTATGTATGGATGAGCCTCTCAATAACAACAAAGGTTCAGTTTGGTCATATTTCTTATTTATTTTCTGGATTGTTGCTTATCTACTACTGAAGGTAATAATCAGCCCTCAATATTGTTCAGTTTTACTTCTGAGAAGAAAAGGGCTGACCCTTAAGGAAAGTATGTAATTCATGTGTATTTTCCCACTTCATACTTTTTTACTTATGTGTATATGTGTGTTTGGGTATGTACATGTGAGCGAAGGTGCCCCAGGAGGCAAGAAGGTGTTGAATCTCATGGAACTAGAGTTACAGGCAGTTGTGAGCCACCCTGTGTGAGTTCTGGTGACAGAGCGTGGATCTGGAAGAACGCAAAGTGCTCTTCACTGCTGAGCTGTCTCCAGTTCCCTGTTCCATACTTCTCATCTGTGCAAGAGAGTGTCTCAGAGTCAAATATTTCTATATACTTTCACCTGCACTTAAATTCTCTCTTTGCTGGGCAGTTGTGGTGCACGCCCTTAATCCTACCACTGGGGAGGCAGAGACAGAAAGATCTCTGTGAGTTCGAGGCCAACCTGGCCTACAGAGCAAGTTCCAGGAAGACTCCAAAACTACAGAGAAACCTTGCCTCAAAAAACCAAAAAAAAGGGGGGCTGGAGAGATGGCTCAGTGGTTAAGAGCATTGCCTGCTCTTCCAAAGTTCCTGAGTTCAATTCCCAGCAACCACATGGTGGCTCACAACCATCTGTAAAGAGGTCTGGCGCCCTCCTCTGGCATGTGGGCATACATGGAGGCAGAATGTTATAAATATTTTTTTTTAAAGAAAAAAACTAAAAAAAAAAATCTGCTTTCTCAGTTTCCCTGTGAGTTCTGTGTACTTCAGGTGGGAGAAGGCAAATTGATTAACCAGCTCGCTATGAAGTGTGTGTGAGTGACAACATGCTTTGTATTGCTCCACTGCATATTTTGGATGTTAAGGTTTCTACAGGCATTGTGCCTTAATGTAGTCTGGTGGGAACGTTACCAGCAGTTTGGGTTATCCATCCATACGAGCAGCAGGCTACTAGACTCCTCCGTTCATCTTTAGTGCATAAACTTACTCAGTGCTCTCTCATGCTGCATGATAAAGGCTAAATTCCTGACCCTCTGTGATCTGCTTCTAACCTGTTATCCTCTCTGGTTTCCTTACCATTCTTGCAGGTTCGTGGGCTCTCTGGGTACCATCATCATAAAATGTAAAGATTTCCGAATTATTCAGTTGGATATTCCTGGGATGGAGGAATGTTTAAATATAGCCAGTTCCATTGAGGTAAGTATTTTGCAGGCAAAGATCTGATGGAAAAAAAGGCTGTGTTCTGATTTCATGCAGCCTTCTGTTTCTTCAGTCAGGTGTTTGATCATGACCCCATGTCTGCTGATGTAGGAAAAGCCCTACCTGATTGGTGTCCCACAAAAACAATGGGGCCTCTTGTGTTTCCTGCACTTTTAGTGTTACTTTCTACGGAATTCCTAATCCCATCAGTTGCTTAGAAGTTTGTGGAATTTCATGATAGAATTTCCATGAGTTCATATTGATCAGATAATAAATAGAAGCTATTTCATCTGAGTATGTATGACTTCTTTAAAACAACAACAACAACCCAGGAATCATGTTTACTCTACAAATCTTGATGCTTTCTGCGGTGAAGACAGTTTGTGAACTGTTGTTCTGTTTCAGTGGATGTCTTGAAGGAACAACCTATAAGGAGTTTTAAACCAAGGAAACAAGTACGGTTAGTTGGATTGTGGACACGTACAGTGAGCGGGTGTGATCTTCTTGAGTGTAGTGTGTCTTTGAAATAGAGAAAACCCTTGAACTCTGAGCAGCGCTCTTAATACTGCAATTGTTGTAATAGCGTCGTTCCTCTGTTAGCATGCGGTGCGGCCATGGGTGAAGTGCTTATCGCTTGCAGTTAGTCTCTTATTATACGATAAGTATATCATTACCTGTCTTTCAGGGATGTTATATGATTACATTTGTGGGTATATGTGAAGTCTTAGTACTTGATAAATGGTAGCTGCCATTGGAGGGCCCTTCTTTGAGAACAGTTTGATGCTGAGACGTTGTGGTAGAAATAGCCACATCACATAAAGTTGACTGTCTTCACCATTTCTCAGCTTACCATTCAGCTGTGTGTCAGGAGTATATTCACAGTGTTGTGTAACAGACTAAAGCAAGTGCCTCTCGCTAACAGTTGTCACCTGTGACTTACATATGAAGGTATGTATTTGCTTTCATCAGCTCATTTAAGATGTGTTTGGTTTTGCTTATAAGAAAGTTTTGAACATTGGTTCTGGCCACACTTGAGAAAATTTGCTTGGATAGTTTAAGCTCTCAATTGAAGATTTCACCCTCCGTTTCCACCTTCTGACTGTTTCGGTATACACCCCAATTTTAAATCACCACCACTAAATTATACCAACTGACTCTGTGTTTAATTTCTAGGTAATTACAGAGTCTAGCTGACTTTTTTTCCTTCCGCAGTTACTCTGTGTAACTGAGTTATTTGGCTTTATGTCTTTTTTAAAAAGCGGGTTTAGCTATTAAAAAGGAGAGGAAAAGTCCTAAATCTATGATCACAATTTTGTTTGTTTTTTAACAAGAAGTAGAGGATCAGGTGATGTGTTGCTAAGGGAATGGCACACAAACCTTTCTGCTTTTGGAAATTCTACTTGAGGAAAAGAGAGAGTGGATTGAATAGTCTGCCATGTATAGTTTTCACTTGGAAATGTGGTCTTGACTTGGCTGTACTCCCCACCGTGAATAAGAAAACAAACTGAAATAATGTTTTACCGTTTAGACAAAGGAATGTCTTAGGCTCCCGTTGGTTGGGTGTGCCCTATGTAGCATAAGGAAAGGACAATGACTAGCCAACTGGCAGATCCTTTTAGGAAGGAGGAAGTGAGTGTAGATGTGGCTTCTGCATATGTATGCCTTGTAAGAACTCAGGGTTTTTTTGTTTTTTGTTTTGTTTTTTTTTAATGTGTCACGCTGTTGTTGGCCTTATCTCCATGAAGACTCCTAATAAGCCTGTGAAATTTCCTCCATTGCATAAGGCTTAGGGAGGCTATGTGACTTAACCACTGTATTGCTGGGGTTGGAGCTTGAGGCTTTTCTGATACTTGGCAGCTGGCAGAGTTGAGTATTCCTTTTTTATAGTGACAAGCAGGCATAGATTTCAAATGACTTACAGTGTCTAGTTAGCTACTGACTATTTAGCTCAGACTGTAGTAACTAACCCAAGGCTTTTTGTTCTCCGGTGTCCAGAAATTCTTGGACATTTTTATTGAGCTTTGAACATTCTTAAATTGTGTCATCAGGAATGATTTCATTAGACACAGACTGTTCTGTTGCTTGTTTCATTCACTCAATACTTGTTGAGTGTGGTTGTGTGTCAGGTGTCTTAGATGCTGCAGTGGGGATGTTAGCTCAATCAGACTGTAGCTCCACATAGAGATATGGCATTGAAGACCTGTATTGGGTCCCATCATTACCAGGTCCTATTACTAACTGCTGCTTCATTAGAATTATTTCAGTTGTGGAATCTTTATCTTTCTGTCCTCTAGGCATTGTCCACTCTGGACTCGGTCACCCTGATGTACCCCTTCTTCTACAGACCTATGTTTGAGGTGATTGAAGATGGCTGGCATTCCTTCCTTCCTGAACAAGAGTTTGAGCTCTATTCCTCTGCTGTAAGTTAAGATTTGGACATTGTGGGCGCTAAGAATTAACCCAACACCTTATTTTACTTGAGAAAGGGATTCTTTCCCTTTGAAGGCTAGTGAGGTGGGGTTGGGTTATTCATGCCTAACTTTAGAGTATGCACTAGCTATTGGTTTAGCCTTTTTCATTCTGGGCTGAACATTTTGCCCATGTGTTGGTATAATTGCTATAGCTGCAATACTTTTCCTTCCAATTGATTAACATAGTCCAGATATTTTTAAAATTACCTGTATAAATATTGCTTAAAAATAAAAGTAAAACATTGTTTTGCTTAAAACCAGTCCTGGCATACTATGAGTTAATTTGAGTTAATTGGTAGATGTAACAACTTAATGTGTACTAGGTTTTGAACCACCTAAAGACTGGAGTGAGTGTGAGTTAGATGTCCAAATTTCCTGCTGAATAGCTTCCCTGGAAATCATCTCCAAAGCCTTTAAAACTTAGATGCTTTATGACACTGAGCTGCTTGCTTAGGTTTGAAGTACTGTGTGTTTTCCAGACCAGTGAATGGAGACTGAGTTATGTCAATAAGGAATTTGCTGTCTGTCCTTCCTACCCGCCAATTGTCATTGTGCCCAAGTCCGTCGATGATGAAGCTCTTCGGAAGGTGGCAGCCTTTCGACATGGGGGGCGCTTCCCAGTACTGAGCTATTACCATAAAAAGAACGGCATGGTGAGTATAGGGAGCGCTGCTCCGCTGGCAGGCGTGGCCTGGGTGGGTAGGTCCTTTACTTGGGAGTATTCCCTTTTCTGTGCGCCTTTTGGCTAAAATCATTGGCCAGATCATTCCCACTAGTGCATCCCTCATGCGAACTGCAGGCCTCCGGGAGTGGGATGCTTTCCTGAGGAGACTGAATTCTTTCAGTACTGCTCAGCTCCAGGAAGGCTGGCTTTATCTTCAGAGCACAGTGTGAAGGAAACTATGTTTATTTAATGTTTCTGCAATGTTCATAAGACACAAGAGTGACATTTCCTAGAATCCTGTTTTGTTTTGGTGCTTATTACAATTATTCCTACCAAATTTCCATCTGAACAGTGAGTTGAGCAGACATTGACTCACAAGAGAAAGAAGAATGACGCATGCCATTTACTCAGGCCCTAGTGACTGGGAAATTAGGGATTGCAGAGACCCTGAGCTCTGACTGGGACAGCCAAGGTGAAGAAAGAATAGATGCACATGTAGAAAATCTGCACTGGGTAGGTGTGTGTAGTCTGATGGAGTATCACCACCTGTGCTACAGCTGGAGCCTCAGCATGTGGGGCAGCTAGGTTGGGGGAGAGGTCTCCGTCAGCCAGCAGTCTCAGGCTGTACGCGTCCAGGAGAAGGAAGCTGCACTTGGAGTTTTGTATACTCTGGCAACATTTACACTTGGGCTAGAGGACGGTTGTGCATCTCTCTGGCCTGACCTGGAGGCACGGCTTTGTCACTTCCCCATGGGGCTGTGGCATTGGTCTTTGACACATGCCTGCTCACATTAACAAGACACTTCTGTCAGGGCTTCCTCATGGGGATGTAGCAGTCTAGAGCTTGCTGTGTGTGCTTTCTGAATTACTTTCTGCTCTCCTCCACCCCTTTATTTTTTTTTGAGACAGGGTCTCACTAGTCTGTCATGTAGTTCTGGCTGTCCTGGAACTCTCTGTAGGCCAGGCTGACCTCAAACTCACAGAGCTCCACCTGCATCTGCCTCCCAAGTGCTAGATTAAAGGCGTGCGCCACCATGTCTGGCACTTTCTCTCCTCTTGGTTTTCAGTAAACTTTGCTTCTCATATGCAGCCCATATTAAACTAGATAGTTAGAGCCATCTTCCATTGTCCTTTTCCACAGGAATAAAGAGGCCATCAGTGTGTCAGAGTTTTAAAATTTTGCAATGTTGTCAGCAGGCCACCTGTCCTGCCAGCAGTGGGATTGCTCTTTCAGTGTTTGTAGTACAGTGTTTTAACAACTGGTACAAATGTAGTGTTGAGTCCCCTGGTGGCGTCACTATAAAATTATTACTGAGCCGAACAGTAGTGTCTGCCCAGGGTGACAGGATTCATGAACTCCTACAGTTCTAAACAAAAGAAAAGGCTCAAGTAATGAATGTAATGCATCTGTGGGAGTCTCAGGTACACAGGTGCAACAAAGCAGGAAAAGCTCTTTTGTGGTTCCAGATGTTACAGCTTCAGCTTTAGGGCTTATGGATCAGAGACTGGCTAAGCCTAATGGAGCATTCTGCAAGGTTTTAGTAGTCACTAGGAATTTGGCTCAGATAGAGAAATGGACAGGTATGAGAAACAACTTAGAAAGAAGGAAGAATGTGTTCTGGCTTGCAGAGTTCTGTGTTTCAGTCCTCATTCTGTTGGCCCCACTGCTTTGGGCTTGAGATGAGGTAGAACCTGTGGTGGTGGGAACGTGGGGAATAGGGGCAATTGACCTCAGCAGAGAGAGACAGGAAGGAGGGGCCAGGGGCAAGGAATGTCCCCTAAACACATCCCCAGTGACCTGTGCACTCCAGACAGGTCTCACTTCTGAGAATTTCCTTCACTTCCCAAAACTTAACCACAGACTGGCCACAGGTCATGTTGAGCTATTTCAGAGTAATAAGAGTGTGTAATGATGGTTTCCTGAAACAGCGCCGAACTATTGCCCAGGGAGAGATTGGTTTAATAGGACTGGGTTCTTGAGAAAAGCTCCGAAAGCAAACCTTTCTAAATGTGTAGATGGATGGTAGTCTTTGGAGACAGGCAGTCTCAGAATACTGAAAAGGATGGCAGAGGGGCAATGGAGGATAAATAATTAGGCAGCTTTCAGAACATTGGAAATGATTCCCCCAACAAGGGTGTATATAAACTTTCTAGTTTGTGTTTCTCTGTAATTCTTGCCAGAGCCAGCCCCGGGGATATGGAGTTGATGTCTACTCTTTCCTCCAAGACTCAGTAGTGATAAAGATACAAAGGGGGAGGAGCACGTGGATTTTATCCTGTGTGAAGACATGAGACGAAGAACTGAAAGGCAGAATCAGAAAATCAGAAAGAGAGGGGTGGGCTTTTGGGTTGCGTGTAAAGAAGGAAGTGGGCAGTTGGTTGGGTAAAGAAGAATGCATACAGTCAGCCAGGCTGGTTGTCATACAGACGAAGTCTCCCTGCTGACAGCCTGTGTGGTCCTTTGCATGTGTCAGACCCCAGTGTTTTCCTCCAGGCTGAACGGGCAGAGGGAACATCAGACAGAAAATCTCTGCCTGCTTCCTCTGTTGCTAATGACATATGGATGCTTCTTTTTGTAGGGAGGCTTTTCAGAGCCATTCCTGGGTCTGCAGAGGTCTGCAGTTTATTTGAGGTGTGGGATATTTTATTCTCCCACAAAGACTCAGTTTACTGGCTTAGGCTGTTATCGTCTTTGTTATGGGGCCAGATCTACTGCAAGTCAGTTCATGCTTCGTTAGAGGTGATGAGTTCATTATGTTTGCGATAGCAGAAAAATAATTATATTAAAATGCAAGGCCTGTCTGTGTTTTACAGCTGTTAAGGCATGTAGTGCATTTGAGTATGTCCTGCTCATCAGCGTTCTTGGCAGAGTACCACAGATTGTTTGCCAGAGAACCCTGATCCAGTTCCTTCTCGGAAACTTCAGTAACCGCTATTGAGTTGTTGCCATGTGTGCTTCCAGGTGATTATGCGAAGCGGTCAGCCTCTGACTGGCACAAACGGGCGAAGGTGCAAGGAAGATGAGAAGCTGATAAATGCCACCCTCAGGGCAGGAAAGCGTGGTTACATCATTGACACACGATCACTAAATGTGGCCCAGCAAGCTAGAGCCAAAGGAGGGGGCTTTGAACAGGAAGCCCACTATCCCCAGTGGAGGCGGATTCACAAGTCCATTGAGAGGTAAAGAGGCCAGCGTGGTGGGGACTCTCTGTGCTGATTGCAGAAGGGGATCCTGTACTTGTTCAAAACAGAGATCAGGGCTACTCCACACAATCAAGGGTCTGGAATAGGCTGGACAACCTGCTCTGGGCTTCCCTGCCCCATCTGCTTTACTAAAGTTTAGTGAATGAAAATGTATGTGTTTGTCAATGCAGAACAGCTCTCACCTCAAAGGGAAGAAGAGTGAGTTTATTCTTGAGCCAAATGTAGTGACCCTGACCCAGAAACATAGATTCGGGTTGCCCCAAACAACTTGTTCTGGTGTGGAAGCGGCTTCAGGAAGTTTTTATAGTCACAGGGTAAAAGACATAAAGTAAGGCATTTTCCAGGTACAGTGGTAGGAACATCAGATAGATAGGGTACAGCAAGGTGGGGATCTCTGCTAACAGGTCTTAGGTGCTGTCTGACAACATAACATTCTTAGCTTGCTGCTAGTGGACGGTCCTGCGCTCCAAAGTTTTGCCAGTGGTTGAAAGGCTAGGTCAGACAGCTGGACAGCTACTAAAGGAACAGAGAGAGTTGAACATGCAGACTGAATCTGCAGCATTCCAACTCCACAATCTCGAAGTTCATATCAGTCAGCCTTGTGTTCTTCAACATAGGTGTGGCTACTTTCTGCAAACTAGTTCACACTGTTTTGTCTGATGTGTGATTTTGATTCAGCTGCAGATTAAGAAATGATGAGGTGACATATCCGTCATCTTGCCTTCTTGTCTGTGGCAGAAATACTCGTGTCTCCTCTTGTCAGCAGTTCTCAGTGGTCCTGGAGCTGTTGCACCTGTGCTCTGTGGAACTAGCCTCCTGGTTTCATGACTTGGAATCCTGAAAGAATAAGCCAGGAGGCCAAATATTGCTGAATAAAAATGTTTTTGTAAACCAGGAGAGAAAGAAAGGAAGGTTCCTAATGGATTGTAGCACAGCTGCGGCAGTATTGGGACTTTCCGGAAATCACGAGACAAAAGCCAGAGATCCATGGATTTAGTTCTCGGTTTGTTACGTGCCTTCCTGGGAGGAGGGTGGCTGGACTGCCTCTGTTCTTGGCACATGAGTTTTAGCACTGTCTTTTCTTCTATTGCTAACAGCAGTGTGCCAATAGATTTTGTAAGGGAGATACAGAGTCTGCAGATTAATTTGTATAGGAGGATACTCTAACCATTTTCCCAGCCATGAGCATGAGATCTCTTTCCACTGATTTGTGTCCACATTAATTTCTTGAACATTTTTTAGCTTTTAGTGTACAAATCTTTTACAGTCTTGAGTAAATTCACTAAAGTAAAAGTATTTTATTTTTTATGTTGTTTCCATGAATGAGATTTTTCTTTCTGTCTGTCTTTCTGTCTGTCTGTCTGACAGAATTTCTCTGTGTAGCCCTGGATGTCCTGGAACTTCTGTAGACCAGGCTGGCCTCGAACTCACAGAGATCCACTTGCCTCTGCCTCCCGAGTGCTATCACTAAATAGCTTTGATATTAGAGTTGGGCTAGTAGGTAACACAGTGCTCTCTTCAGGCTTTTGGAAGACGGGACAGGACTAGTATTTAGTTCTTTTAAGTGTTTGTAGCTTGGGAGGCCTTCAGGACCTGAGCTTTTCTTTGATGGTAGATTTTTGTTTTTTTGTTACTGGTTTGTTGTTTTTTGGGGGTTTTTTTTTTTTTTTTTGGTTTTTGGTTTGTTTGTTT